CTCGTGGCAACTTTCATAACGATCCCAACGAACATTCCTTCGAGAAGGTTCCTGATACCATCCCTGTGCCTTCCACTGTTTCGGTGCGTATGTGAACACATTTGGGACTAACAGGGTTTACTAGAATCCCACCACTCCACCACAAAGTCACCGCAGTAGACGTGAGATGAGCGCTGTCGCTCCGCGGCACTTAATTGTTTAATATATTGTTTTTTGACTTCGTACTCATGATTTTTTGCCTGTGTTCTGATCTAGAGTGCTGAAGCCTTTCATTAGGCGGGACTGTGAGACAAAGCCACTCAAGTTAAAGCTACTGGAGGAGATTGTTGCATATGGGCACAAGTATGTAGATAACAGAAACGTTGATTATGCCCGCTGCACACATAAAAGGAAACTATTATGTGGTTTTCAACTAAGTAAAATAGAAGACATCGCTCAAGGTTCAAAGGGCAGGGCTAAAGAGTCAAAATACAACTAGGGGGCTTTTAAGGTTCCAAATGCAAGAAGACTGGTACGTGTCTTTTCCGTCAGAACATAGTTGAATTGAAATGGTTAGACATGTTTTCATTCTTATATTAATATGAGCTTGGAATGACATGGTCACTATAGCATCCAAAGCGAAGAGGCCTGGTGGTATTGTCCTCAATAGGAGGGCTAGAAATTGGAACATGGATTTCTCATATTTAGAATGCGAACTGAAGCCTATAGCTAAAGGTGGAGCAACCTGTGAATAATATAAAATGACAGTGACCGTGCCAGCACCAAAGCAGTAGCTATTGAGTGAGCGCTGCTGCCCCATGGAATTTTTATACTGTGAAGTCTAATGTACAATTATTTTAGGAATGATCCCGGTTGGAAGGTTGACCCACAGGCCCCCATAGACTACTGTTATGTCCGACCTCAGCACATTCCATCTGTAAATGCGCTATGCCGGGAGTTTTTCTGGCCGGATATAGACAGTAAGTTCATTTAAATGTGTATGCTGCCTGTTTAGTACGGCACGAAATTATTATGTGTGCAATTTTGCTTTCTGCACTTTTCATTAGAATAAAATTTCAATATGGCCGCAAGATGTGTCCAGTTTCAGCCACGGTCGTTATCCCATATATCACATCTACTCTTCTGTTGTTCTCTAATCACTGTGCAGTATAGGTTGGTTTTCATCGATTGAATGTTTTTCTACTTGTGTGATCTGAGACGTGGTTCGCTTTTCTCTAGTGTCAGAGTGCTTGCAATACCCGGACTTCAGCGTGGTTGTGCTCTACAGGAAGCTGGTGATAGGCTTTGGATTCATGACGCCGGATGTGAAGTACAACGAAGCGTACATTTCGTTTCTGTTCACTCATCCGGAGTGGAGGAATGCTGGCATCGCCACGTTCATGATTTATCATCTCATACAGGTGAGCATTATCAAATTTGAACACATTCAACTATCATCACGATGCTAGTTGGTCTTTCTTTAACATGCATTATCGTCAATATTATTTAAATGATGAGTGCGTGTTACTCTTCTATTCCTCTCTCTCTCTCTCTCTCTCTCTCTCTCTCTCTCTCTCTCTCTTCTCTCTGCTCTCTCTCTCTCTTCTCTCTCTCTCTCTCCTCTCTCTCTCTCTCTCTCTCCTCTCTCTCTTCGTCTCTCTCTCTCTCTCTCTCTCTCTCTCTCTCTCTCTCTCTCTCTCTCTCTCTCTCTCCTCTCTCTGCTCTCTCTCTCTCTCTCTCTCTCTCTCTCTCTCTCTCTCTCTCTCTCTCTCTCTCTCTCTCTCTCTCTCTCTCTCTCTCTCTCTCTCTCTCTCTCTCTCTCTCTCTTCTCTCTCTCTCTCTCTCTCTCTCTCTCTCTCTCTCTCTCTCTCTCTTCTCTCCTCTCTCTCTCTCTCTCTCTCTCTCTCTCTCTCTCTCTCTCTCTCTCTCTCTCTCTCTCTCTCTTCTCTCTCTCCTTCTCTCTCTCTCTCTCTCTCTCTCTCTCTCTCTCGATAAGTTTCTCCTGAATAATTTCATATTTCTAATGATTTCAGACCTGCTTAGGAAAGGATGTAACGTTGCACGTGTCTATCACCAATCCATCTCTCCTGCTCTACCAGAAGTTTGCTTTCAAACCTGAAGAGCTCATACTTGATTTCTACGACAAATATTTTTTAGAAGATTCAAAAGAGTGCAAGCATGCACTGTTTCTTAGGCTCAGACGATAGCGGGGTTCACCGTGTATTTCTATTAATTGAAGCTACTATGTGTGTGTTAAAACGATTCTTTTGATACAAGGCAATTAGTATGGTCGTAATTAACTTGTGATTATGCCTATGCCGAATTACATTTTGTGTTTGAATATTAAATTATTGATTGATTATAAAGCTTTACACACATATTGATAATGGTCCACTGTCATTATTGTGATTCAGATTGAAAATATAATTTAGGCCATGCATGAATGAATATATTAATTATATTGTAGGTAGCGAGATAACTGTTGATATATGATATATTTTTTGAAGTATGATGTATTTGTACATATTTGCATGAGAAAATACCAAACTTTTCTATACACAATGTGTTAGTGTTTCATTGTTTAGTGAAGGCTACAGTCAAAATATAACCTAATTTTGATCTAGAAACCCTATGATATTTTTAATGAGACTGCCTTTTTATTGATGTTATTTATTATTAATTTGCCAAGTTGTAAATTTTAATTAGTTTACTGTTATAACTTATTTGATTAATTACTCTACTACGGCCATATTTCAGTGATTCTCTGGCTCAATTAACGCCGTTTACAGTAAGGATTTCCTTGCAGTGCTGCATATATATTGTTATCGGATACAAATGAGCTCGTTGGTGGATGTTCGTCGGTGGATAGCGGGGTAGGTTTTCTTCTCATGCCTCTTGTGTAGGCAGTTTTGATCAGCTTTCTCTACGGTGTAAATGACCTTTTCACCCTGCTTCCAATTCATCGATACTGCGCCACTTTCCGCCACCAGGAACTGCAGTGATCTGCTAAGTGGCTCTTCACGTCTTCAATTTTCTTTTCAATGTTGTTGCTGTTATTGACAGTTAATTGACCGTTCTCTCGGAACCACTTGAAATTTCGCCGAGCCATTTGCTCTGCAAGGCACAAATCATTGTCAGCTTGACTCGTCGGAGAACCTATTCAGTGCTATGTCATGCGCGTTTTCAATCGCGGCTGAACGTGATCTTCGTGCGCACCATACAAAGATAAGGGAAGTACTTTGTACGCACATCTCGCATCTCCGAAGATTGTGGGCTCCGAGCTAGAGTTGCTATAGATCTTGTAAGTGCAGAAGCTTAACTGTTGGGTCGATCTAAGACGGACCCCTTCCGGACAACTTTCATCGTATAAGGCCAAGGGACTATATCGAAGACGAAAAGAGACAAAGTTGATCAAACAGACAGATCAATACTGTGGATCGCATTAGAAAAAGTCCATTAATTGCTAAAAGTTTGTACACAGACACTTCAACCCTTTAATTAATGTGGTTATAAAGTCACTGCGTTTGTTTCTAGTGTAGCGTTCACCACCAGGCCTTCCCCAAATATCGGCAGTACGTGACTTGCGCGTCGAGTTGTTGCGCGTTGCGTGTTGCGCGTTGCGTGTTACGCAACGTCTGTACGCGCGGTATAACGTCTGTCTGCGCGGTATAACGTCTGTCTGCGCGGTATAACGTCTGTACGCGCGGTATAACGTCTGTACGCGCGGTATAACGTCTGTACGCGCGGTATAACGTCTGTACGCGCGGTATAACGTCTCAGTGTACGC